TCCTAAAGACAACCTGCAGCCTGTCCTAGCAGACTCAGACTGACACAGTCACTCTCTGACTGACTTTCTAGTAACTACCTTCTTATTTGTAAATGCAAACAGATTGCCTACGCATGGCAATCAATCTGACTCAGCACCCAGTTTGCAACAGATATGTGATCTTCACTGATTTATCATACTTTCTTGCCACATTTTCACAAAGCGATTTCATGCAATTGCTAACTTTCAATCTAAAAAATAAGAGCAGACTAACTCAGTTTTGATGCACCAAAGTGAGACTAAAGTGAGTGATCGCAGTCCTTCGAAGCAACCATTTCAAAAGCGAGTAGGGAACTTGTTCATTGCACAAAGTTACCGTAATTTTAGTCAGACCGCCGTCTTCCACCACAGTTTTTCTTGGTGTGACTTTAGCGTCACACACTGAAAAGAAATGTTACTTTGAACCAACTTTAATAATTACCCCATTTTGTTACAGCTAAGTTTATTAGTTGTACTCAGACTGTAATTTAATATAAACCTTTTACTTGAAGTTCAGATTCTCACATTTGACAAATTGTTTGTGTTGATTATTTTCATGGTAACTTATTTTTAATTTTAGGTACAGTGAAATAAACAGCGTTAACCCAGAAATCCCAATTTTCTTTTGCAACAGTGGAGTGCAATGCAACACTTTTTCAGTGTAGAAGCATTTTTAAAATTAAGCAATCTCTAGTGGTTATATGTAAAAGCATATAAATAAAATGAGCTCAGGTGGCCACTTTTAGACAATCCACACACAATCCTTACTTACCTATATAAGCTCAGTCACCATAAACTCGAACCCCAGTGCACCGCCTCTAAGCCTGCTGGAGACAAAATGAATGAAAACCATCCATTATCTGAACTGAATCTGAACTCATTCATACCTTAGATCATTTCAGAATCACCATTTAACACAACATGCATGTCTTTGTGCTGCGGCAGGAAGCTGGAGCATCAGGAGAGAACACATGACACTAAAGAAGTGCCCTGAAACAGGAACCTCTTCCTGTGATGCGACATTGCGACCCACACTATGATATGATAAAATCTTGTTTAACATCTGTTGATATCAGTCACAAATATATTGAGTATTAAAAATCCCCCCAAAACCTTAGTGTAACTTATCACAGGTTACATTTATAAATATTATAATATGGAACTGTAACAAAGCGGAGGAAGTAATCTAAAGCAAATATATTTGAAAATGTCTTGTATGTATGGTACATAAGACATGAATAATATTACTATATATTAACTCTTAGTAGAGCTGAAGTAGAAAGGTAGTAGTAGAAGCACGGAGACAGTGGTATTAGACGAGTCTGGTAAAAGAGGCTGATGTAAGTTTATTTGTGCAAGCCCATAAATGAATGTGCTCTATTGACGCTCGTTCCAGCGTGTCCGCTGTTGCTTTGTCCACTGTTCCACTTACAAACATCTTTTTGCTCCATTGTCAACGAAGCATAGACGTGCCTTTGTGCTGTTTGAAGGGACAGCGGCCCGGCTGAGCGCACAGAGCTGAGCTAAGAAAAGACAGCGAATTCCTGCTGACAGGCCTCTGTGCATCTCTTCTTCTGCTCCTTGACTTGTTAGCTGTCTTATAAAAACTGATTTTCACCCATGAGGCAGCCTGAGGACATTTATTCACTCTGTGAAAACAAATCAGCTTCAGGCTTCGGGATAACAAAAACCTCCAATGGAGCTCAGTTGAGTAGTTTTAAAAAGTTAAAAATTTTAGAGTCACGTTGTTGCTTTAAGTGTCATGTTGTCCTTTGACATTTACAGAAATAGCCTAGGATCATAAATGATGAAGTGAATCTGTTTGCTGCACAAAAACATTCATTTTGGCACATCGTGGCATTATTTTTCTTAACAGAAATTGGCAAAGGACGTAGCTGCAAAATTTTGTAAAATCTACTTGTCTGCTGTTAGTTAACAGAGTTAACAGTGGATCATTTTTCCTCAGTTCCTCAACGTAATTGTATCTCAAAGAAAGCGAAACCATTTTATAAACAGAATGAACTCAACGCCTAACACGTTCTTTGGGATTTTTGATTATTTCTACAAGCAAGCGAATACAGTTGCTACCAAAATAAAACAGGAAGTGCATGTCAGAGAGACAAAGCATGCATTGACAACAAACAGAGGGAGACAAAGGGAGTGAAAAACAGTCCAGGTAGCAGGCACGCACAGTCGGGCCTGGTCTGGGCTACTTTTGGTACGTACGGTTCAGTTATGGCACCATCAGGTGCTCTGTGGGCATAAAGCAGGTTAGGCATGGGTTATAGAAAGTACTATGTGGGCCAGATGTGCCCCAGATGTCACAACTGATCTGACCTCTGGCTCAAGGTTCAGTGTGGTTCATAGAAAACCACAGATGTGGGCCATATCTATGACAAATGTTCACTTCTCTATGAGATGAGACAGCACTATAAAACACAGAGAAGGGGATGAATTAAGTAAAAACAGGAAGCAAAACTCACCATAAACTTAACAAAACCCAACAGTATATAAGGAATAAATGACACAAAGGGAAATGCCCATATCTGTTTATTGGAAAGAGGTTTTTAAGTTGTTTCGTACTACAGTGTTTAACTTAACTCCACTGAGTGGGATTTACTCTGAAATATGACAGGCAATAAAGAACATTTTCTCATTTTTATGGTCATGGAAATCGATTAAGAACAATGTGGAAGTGACACATGCTGGCTCAAGTGTAAAAGATAACATCTACCCTCCATCAACCCCATCTTTGTATCTCTCTCCGAATCACGAGTCCATGTTTAGCTGCTGAATTAAATACACAACAGTCAGTGCCTCCAGAGCCTAATTGGTCCTTTGGGAAAACACTTGAACACTGGTGAAAGTTCGGGAGCTTCACCTCATAAGAGAGAAACAAGGGTACGATGACATTCCTCAAATGCCTCCAACGCAAAGAAAACATGTTGGTTTGCAGCTGTAGGTCTAAATAGGGACATAATGGCTCTGCACTGATGCTTATGTGTGTTTAAAATGTGCATGTTCATGTCACTAAGGGGCTAACCCAAATTAAAAAGATGACCCTGTGCAGGGATCAGCCAGTGCATCACTGCAAAACGAGCCAGATTAAAATCATTTTGTCGCGTTTAATCTTGATGAATTTGGGGTTTTCCAGTTTTTAACACACACGTTGTGTTTTCCTGTTTTTCTATTTTTTAGAAGATAAAAGATGACAAAGAAATCGATTGAACTCACTCAGCAAGCAAAAAAGTTGAGAGACTCTCTGACTAAAGATCTAAAGTCAGAAATATAAAGACGTCATGAACTAAAAAACAATTTAAAAAAAAACTGCATGTTTATGTTTCTAAAACAATTCTGATAAACAAGCTTGAAATCACAGACTGTATACAAAAGATGGAGGCTACCATGATGTCCTTTCTTTTTTGAGCTCTTATTTTGAAGATAATTTTAAACACAGTCTCACAGTATTTTAAAAGGATTCCAGGAATAATCTGACTAACAATGTCACCTGGTATGAGTTTCGGATCATCTAAAGATTTTACTGAGTAAACTTATATTAGCAAGTAACAAATCTGTAAAAAATAAAACAAACATGTAGGTATATAAAGTCTGTGGTTCTGACACAAGCCTATCACTGTTCCTAAAAAGGTGTCATGCTTTGTTTACTTTATATATATGGTTAGATTTATATATGGTTTATATATATGGTTTAGGCCCTATAAAGGCACTACTAATTACTTGGTTAGGGTTTGAAATACGTGGTTTTTCTGTGGTCTGGTTCAAAATATGAGGTTACAGGTCGACTATTGCATCTGAATGTGATGCCAAGAGCTTGTTGCTATTGCAATTTGTGACATGCTGTGAGTGAGAATGAGCCCTGCTGTGGCAAACGCTGCACAAAACCTTTGGACAGAAATGTGAGACAGCAGCAGCTTTGAGAAAACATCTGTATACGACACAACAGGGAGGGAACAGCTGGCATTTTAGGTCACTGCCAGGTGTTTCTCTATTCTTCTTCTTCTTCTTCTTCTTCTTTTTTAATAAAACCAGACCTCATACAGGGATCTGACTAGGAAGCCAAAATCACAGTACAGTCTATACCCTGCTTACCCATCTATTTCACTCTAAATGGGACTACCATTTACAAAATGAACATCACGTTTTATTAATCAGGACTTTAAGCTGGGTCAGTACGGTGGTTAGCTCTGTTCCCTTTCAGGAAATCTGGATGGGGACTTTCTGATTAGAGTTTTCATGTTTTCCCCGTGTTTGCGTGGGCTTTCTCCAGGTACTCCGGCTTCCTCCTACAGTCCAAAGACATATAATAAGTAGGGCTAGTTTGGTGATTTTAAAACGTCAGTCGCTCTGTGTTAGCCCTACGTCAGATTGGTGACCTGTCCAGGGTGTATCCTGTGTCTCGCCCTATGATAGCTGGGATAGGCTCCAGCCTCCCTGCGTCCCTGATAAGGAAAACCGGAAGAGAATCGGTGGATGGAGGACTTTAAACGGGCAATTAAGACCATAAAGTCACCAGCAAAGTGTATACTGATGTCATAGATTAAATCAGAAGAGGCTAATTTTCTCATAGTCTTCTATACATTCAGACATCTTTTTGCAACCAAAGGAGTCGCCCCCTGTTGTGCCATTCGAAATACTGAAAGCACTTAGACATTGGCTTCATTGTTCAGAGCCAATGGCTAAATCCATCATTTATGTACTCTAAGCTGCCATCATACAATCAGTGTCCCTCATAACCAGTTTTATTTTTTCATATCTTTTAGTTAAAACATTTTCCAACCCTGCAGTTCTGCTGACACGTTTATGCACGTTTGACTCAATGAAGGGCTGAAAGTGCTCAAAGAATTTATTTTGATTGATTGATTTTTGCAAGTGTTCTCCATCTGCGTGATTTAAAAATGCTTTTATTAATGTTTTGCACTTAAAAAAATTTAACTCCTTTTTAACTAACTCCTCTTCTCCAGATTTAAAACTGTTCGGGAGCCTCTCCAATCTCTCCTTCCGCCGCTCAACAGGGAAGAAGAGCAGCAAAGCGTCCCTGGAGTATGATGGGAGCTTTTCCGGGGACAAATCTGCAGGGATGGGCAACCAGTCGGTGGACGACATGGAGTCCTGCCTCCACAGCCCCACCTACGCCCGCTCCTGTGAGATGTACACACATGTGGGGACTGTGCCTCGCAATGACAAGCAGAAGAAGAGCTTTAAGGGGCTAAAGGAGAAGAAGACCAAGACAGAGGAGGAGGAGGAGGAGAAAGGGATGAGTGAGAGGCAGGGCAATTTGAAGGCGGGAGAGCATGTCCGGGACTCGCCCCTGCTTGGTGCTCTGACAAGCCTTAGTGTGAACAATATGGAAAAGCCTCAGCCAGCTTTTGCGTTGGCCCGGTCACTGCCAGTGACACCGACATCCAGCCGGACTTCACCTTTGACCTCAGAATCTGACAGCTGTGATCCTGCTGTGGAACCTTTAACCAGCAGTGAGGCATTAAAGAGCAAGATTGATTTAGAAACAGCCAGAGAGCCTTCAGTTAAGAGCCACAAGGCCGCTTCGAACCAGGATCTGTATGTGCCGATGGATCCTATAGCTGAAACAGCCCACAGCCACCTGGACCCCCAAACAGAGAGACTGCGAGGCGTCACACGTACACAGGAAACCACCACAGCCGTGAAAAGCTCACAGGAAGTGGAGTATGCTGACAAGTGAGATGTTTATTTATTTTTCTCTCAGAAGATGCAGGTCAGAAATACACAGCCTGATTGCTATTCAGGCAGTCAATTCATATCAGTAGAAAAACGTTTTTAGTTATAAACATAAGAAAAACAGACTGAAGATTCACAAAAGTGTCTTTGTGAGACTTAAACTATTAGTAGAAAATAGTAATAATCACGAGAGATTGAAAAAAGGTCATGTTTCATGACCACCTGACACCCAGCTGCTTGTTAGTGGAAATAAATTTAATATTGAGTTGACCTGAAATAAATCAGTCACTGATCTATTAAATTATCTGTTTAAAATAAAAAGATAGAAATCTTAAAAATAAAACATAAAAATTAAATCAACTTAAATTAAAATAAAAGATAATACAAAATGCACAACACTATAAGCTCGAGTCACTGAATCAAATAATGCTGGATAAAATTATTTAAAATGAATCTAAAATGTAAATATAATGAAATAATAGAAAATATTGTCTGTAACAGAAGAGACAATAAAAGTAACTCTGTGGTAAAATAATAACTAATTAATTATCAAAAATAAACTAAGTAACATTATGACACGCTCTAAAAAATAGAACTCTCAAATATTCAACACATGAAGATTAAAATGCACTGTGAAAGTGGCTGTTGCTGCGGACATGCGCAGTAGCTCCGCTCCCACTCACCGCGGCTATCAGTCAGCTGGGCGAAGCCGTGAGGACTGACCTCGGGACAAGATGTGTGAAGTTGGGGACTTAAAGTTAAGCGGGGTGAGGAAGGAAAGGTGAGAAAACCGCTTCCGCTATTAACTCTTTATCCACTGACACAGAGCCAGGCTGTGAGATCAGGGTTTGTGTTTCTTGAATAAGAACACACACAGTTCGTTTTTTCTGAAACAGTGAGACAGTCAGAGAAAACTATCTGTCACGATCATCTGTTAATCTGCTTCGGGGAACAGTCTCAGCTCCGAGGCTTTGATATTTTTATCCCTTCGGTCGCTTTTTTTTCGTTTGAAGTATATTTTTAAAGGCGGAAATAGAGGCGTGTTTTTGGTTAGTTTGGTGCCATAAAATCTGAAACGAGGATCAGTAAAACATTTACTAGCTACAAGTCGACTTTGAAGTGAGTGGGCTTGCTGGTTCTGGACCGGTCTGTTAGTTACATAAGCGGAGGAATTTGATCCTGCGCTGCTTCACTCTGAAGAGTGATAAGACTTCTCTGGCAGAGATGCAGCGGCAGGTTTAACTTCGTCTCTTTTCCACCTGACTTGTATGTCCCGCTGCATGCTGTCACAGTTTTGCGACCTTGTGTCAGTCGCTTAGTGCTGGCTTCAAGGAAAAGCATCCCACCTTCTGCTGCTTTAATCCAAATTATAAAAGAAACGAATGATTCTTGTACAAATAAAAGGCTATTAAAAAAATACTTAAATGTTATGGCCCTGCAGGTAAAAGTCTATCTTAATCAAGCTGAAGTAAATGATTATGTCTTCCCAAATTGAACTTTTTGGTATTTTTCTTTTTTCAGTATATATTGTCCTGTTATTCCTGTTAACATTATGCTGTAATTAAGAATTTAGTTTGTAATACTGTGAAAAAAAATCATCAGAATTTGACTTTAAGTTAGTTTTCGTTTGCAAAGATCTGTTTCAAGCTTCTAAATGTCACCAAACATTTGAGTAAAACAGTGACGTGACGGTGTGATTCGTGTAGATGTCATTATATCTGATACCAGTGCATTACTGGAAAAAAGCTCAGAGGTGCCAAAATTTTACAAAGTCAGAATCACAAAAATGCTCAAAATATTGATACGTCCAGAATCTCAACTTAATATACAGTTCATCGGACAGCTGCGATAACAGGCCTGCTAATTATCACCAGCCTGATCATCTGATTTGAACTCGCTTAACATGCTAGAGAGTTCAAGAGGTTAATGAAGGCCAACAAGAGTGAAAGTAAAAGTAAATGTGTCTGCATCTATAAAAAAGAACGTCTGAAATGACGAGAATGATGAATATTTGGTTGTTTTACTTAAAAAATCGGCTTATGTTGTTTCATTATGAAGTCTTATTGTTAGCATTTTGGCTCCTGTCATTTTATAGTTATGTTTTGGAGACAGAAATAACCATATCAGTCTTCATTCATAGACTGTACGTGTGCATCACACAGAACAAAGGTACCTATCAACTAGTGCTAAGAATATCAGTCACCAGCACTGACGCTAACACATCTCGGATGTTTTGTAGCAGACAGAAAGTCGTATTATTGGTCAGATAATTCTATTAAAAGCTCTCCAAAAAGCACAAACAACACAGACACAGTGAGTCATGTTCAAGAAGTCCAGTTAGGGGCGACGAACACCCGTTCTTTCAAACTCGAAGCTTTAGGAGAAAGAAGATCTCCCAACCAAAAATCCTCAGTATCTGTTAAAAAAACTAACATTAAACAGCTTTAAGACTCACATCAGCATCGAAGGAAAGCTTTTAGTTTTATTATCGACTTTCAGTAGCAGAATAAGAAGAAATGGTGTCCTGTAGCTGTCAGGGGAAAAGGCTCAGAGTGGATTTCTGGATAAACAGAGCCTCCCATTAACAGTGTGTTTCTTTTAACTACTGGTGCAGTGCCTGTTCCGGGTAAGTGTGGCCCCAACTTACAGATTTTCCCTGACTGTGCAGTTAATTGGAAGTTGCTGGTTTGAAAAGACGACCGCTGTATGGTCACACTTGTTGAATGTGCGTGTAGTGAAAACATAACTGAAGGACTTAAGCTGTTTGTCACAGGAAACCAAAGACTAACATTTTTTTAAATGCCTCTTTGTCTTTTTGAGAACCAGTCTGAATTTTGTTATTCCACATTTCAACCCTGCACCCACGGGACAGTACAAAGCCTTGAGATGTAGACGATGGTCTTCAAACCTCAGTGTGGGACCAAAACACCGCCATGTCGGACGCGTTTAGATGTGGTATCGCTAAACTAAGTGACGTGCGTTCATGTGGATGAATGCCCTCACAAAGATATTTAAACAAACATGGCTGTGTTTGTGTGTGGGCCCCGTCCCTGCAGATAGAGTAGAGCCACAGTCACAGTAGTGGACTCACTGGGAACAGGAAAACGATGGGAACTCTTCATCCAAACAACCAGAAACCCATCAAGTTTGAGGCATATCCCGCGAACGATCGATGAGACAGGCGAATTGGAGATTTCTCAAATTATTAGTGAGTAGTAGTAAGAGTAGTTTTACCCGCAGCGCAGCCGCAGAGGTGTCACATCAGCTTTCAGCTGTTCACAGTTTCGGAGGAATTGCACTGCCAGAACTGAGCACGTTCTGAATTCTCACCTTATTGCAATAAAGGAGGTAATTCAAGTTTAAGAAGCCATCAGAGCAGAAGTGGTCACTGAGGCTGAACTTGACCTGCTTTCAAAAAGTCATCCAGGCTTGGTGACTTTCTTTTTCCACTCTGTGTTTGTTGCAATCAGCCTCAGCTCTTTGCAACTAATGTCGTTATTAGGGAAGTGTTAAACCACAGGCAGAGTCTCTCTGACTGTGTTGCTGTTGGCGTAACAGCTGCTGGCAGTCGGAGCAGGAACTGCTGTAAAATTTGGTGCTGGTTTGAGGAGTGCAGCCCTGAAGTGGAGGGTGTTTCCCCCTCATGGATAAGGTCACTGCAAACAGTCTTATAACTTAACAGTGAACAGACTTTAACTGTGGTTCGGTCCAAGTGTGAAGAAAAAATGTGAGCAAAAGAATAATGACCATGTGTGACAGCATCCTGTCCATGTATAAGTGGATGTTGACTGGTTATAAGCTTATTCTTAGATATAGCTGCAGGTCTCCAGTTTGTTGCCTTTAAATAGAGATAAAAACATCTATCATTATATCTCACATCAGGTGACCTGAGCCGTCTCCTTACAGAGACCTCAGGGTTGAGGGCGCTACTCTTTTATCCTCTGGGTTGTTTGAAAAGTAGTGAAAAATTGAAACACAATCACCGGGCAACCACCAGCTTTTTTCCTGTTCTCAAGGAGGTTCACATCCTATTTTTACAGAGTTCGTCATTAATAAGTAATAAGCTACATTCCTCATTGCAAGGAAATGACTGAGTCATTATGTGTTTTGAATGGAAAAATCAGCTTAACTTTTTTTTT